AAATGAATCGCTAAAGCACAAAATGTTCCTGTAAAATTGCTTCCATATTTTATTAGACGCAGATGAGCATGAAATATTGCAAAGCCAACAGGAGAGTTTGCAAATTTGGTTCTTGCTTTGTTCCATAAACAACTCTTCCTCACCTAGATGGTTATGGAAAGACTTCTACGGATGCTGGTTTGGGCGGAACCATTCGGTAGCTCACTGACTTATTCCTTCATCCAGCCATCAAACATTTATTAGGCACCGACTGTATGCCAGGTAATGCAAGCTTAATTGCAGCCGCAGGTATTGTTCTCGTCAACCAGCCTTCAAATGACACCACGTATGTACAAAGTCCTTCTGAGATGCACCATTTTTGTCTTAGTGCTGTGGGGGACATTGTTATCTCAGAGCACCACCGTCTCATCTCTACCACGCAAAAGTCACATTTTCACCTACCCCTCCACGTCTGCAGATGCTAATTAACATTAAATCCCTCTTTCCTGCAATCTCCCCATTTGTGTCAAGGTATGAAACTTCTTAGTGGGGAAATGGACACAGTCGTGCAAAACTGGCTTTCGAGTTGAACAGATCTTGGTAGTTCCTCACACTCTGGGTGGCTCGGCCAAGCAGATCTAGGCTGACGTCTGAGGAGTCCAGCTTCCACGAGGCGTCCCCAGCCTAGGGAAGGACAGCTGGGATGAGAGCAGTCACATCCTGCGTTTCTCATCTTCCCCTTGTGGGGATCTTTCTCACGCTACCACTGCCACCATGGAGAGGAGGTGAGTGGGGGCTGTCGGGAGTTTGTCACCGCTAGAGTTGGTTCTGGCACCCGTTGGCCACGTGACTTCAGGGTAGTCACCGTGTGCTGAGCTACCATTCTTTCCTCTGTAACAGTGCAAGAGAGTCGCGTTTGCTTTACTGATCACTCGGGGCTGTTGTAGAGCTCACAGTAAATGAGATGATCTGTCTTCTCACTGTGACTTTCAGACCACCGTGCAAACGTGAATTGCTGTTATCAACCAGGGGGTAAGGTGTTGGAGGAGGCAGGACCAAAATGTCTTCTTAGATCTAAGTTAGGATTAGAAAGTCTCTTGTTTTCACTTGTGAGTTAGAGGCACAGTCTTTGGTAGTTCAGATTATTTCCCAGGGAGTGGAAGAAATATTGGGCATTCCTGGGGCCCAGGTTAGGGCAGAATTCTTGCAGGAGTTGGGAGTAAAGGGTGGAGAGAGGCATCCGGGCAGCTGTCAGGGATGAGGGATTCAAAATGCCAAAGGACAGGAAAAGGAATATTAAGAAGCATTAATGTGTAATATTATATGAGAGCCATAAGCACAGATCAGATATCTTTTGATAGTTTTTATCTGACGGGTATATTTTTTTGACGGTGATGCCACTTTGGGACTGGGCCAGGTGGGGCCCTGGGATTAGTTTGTTTTACATTTAGGGAGTGACCACCAGCATTTTGGAACTCAGGTGTTGTGTTTAGTTGCACTACTTATTAAAATCATCACCCAAGATCTGAGCTATTGAATGATAAAAAATTTGTTGTGTCATAAAAAAATCTCCGTGGTTCCTGGAAGGGAACTTCTAAATCCTTGGAATTGTCTGAGCAGGCCACACCTGAGTATATGCTAATATGATGACTCTGGCCGTGAGCTGGCTGCGCCAGAAAGTCCACCCGTGTGATTGGAGGGTTGGGGCTGTGAGCCAGGTGATATCAGCCCCACCTGTGAGGTGGCATGGGGGGCTGGAAATCGTATTCAGTCACATGGCCAATGATTCAATCAATCGTGTCTATGAAGAAACCCCAATAAAAACTCTGGATGCTGGGGCTCGGTGGAGCTTCCTGGTTGGTGAACACACAGGTATGCTAGATTCTGTGGGGAGAGGACAAGGAAACTGTGCAACCAGAAACTCCCAGGCCTCTCACCCTTTGTTTTGCTGTTTATATCTTTTATAATAAAACTATAAGTATAGAACTTATCTGGGTTTTCTGAGTCATTCTAGCAAATTATTGTCCTTGGGATGGGTCATGAACCCCCGTCCTCTGGTTTGTGGCCAGTTGGTCAGAAGAGCAGGTGGCCTGGCAACCCCTGCACCAGCATCCGAAGTGGGGGGCGATCTTGCTGGGAACCGTGCCATTCAACCTGTGGAATCTGATGCTAACTGTGAGTGATTAGCGCCGGGATTGCACCGCGGTGACTGCAGAGCCAAGAGCACACCACACCTTATTTCATTTTGTCAGCCAAGAAATCTCTCTCGAGCGCTTATTTGCGTCAGGCCTGGTGGTGGGTGCCGCATGTACCACCTAGCTGTTGAGCGTTATGTTCCTGAGGGAATTCGCGGAGCTTAGAATACCGCCAGTGTCAAAGGGACGGCACTGTGAAAAACACACCAAGATCGGAATTACTATTTTGGGGAGGATGCACAGATTTGCAGGACCAGATTTTCACATAAATTCATTAAACCAAGGAAGTCTAAAAGCTTCATGAAGTTAAAGGCTGCAAAGTAATTTTTAGCATTACCTTAAGAGGTGCCCCATTTCTTAGGAACTTGGAGTCATTTCTTGATGGAGAAAGGATGTTGGTGGCAGATGCTATTGTCCTGTCCTGAATATGGCCTTGGGATGTGCCAGTTGTGGCGAGTTTTCTATGAGGGAAGGTTGGAGGCTGCTGTCGGAAGTGCACGGGGCATCGTCCACCAAGAGTAGCAGGAAGGGTGTGAGGTCGAGCTGAGTCCTCACAGGGACGGGTGGGCCCATGGCAGAGAAGCATGGGCAGGGGACAGTCTACAAGAACCCGCAGCACTAGGGGTCTTCCTGGCTTGGGGGCCAGCATCCCCGTTTCTGAGGTGGTGGGCCAGGCACTTGTAAGAACTCCCTGGAAGCAAGAATTGCTGAGCAAACCAGGATTTTGTTACCAAATGCAGTGGCTCCTGAATTCTCACTGTTAGACTCACCAGCTGGGGAAGGATCAATGAACAGAACGCAGTGGGCAGGCTTGGGGACCCGGAGTGATGCGGCTGTGCCCAAGCTCCAAAGGCGACCCCCACAAGCCAGCCCTGTGGGTGTGGGCAATCAGAGGAGGAGGATTCCCAGAGTCACAGTCGAGGCTGGAGGGAGATGCCATGTCCCCAGCATGCTACCAGGGTGGCTGGGCGTCTGGAGCAGCAAGGCTGAATGGCCTGGCCCCTATCTCCTGGCATTTCACACACCTGCCACAAATAGGACAAATTTCATGAGCACTCAGGGGCTTTGCAGAAATGTGGGAGTGGGGATGGCCCTGCATAGGCTTCAGATCTGGCAGCAAGAAACATCCAGTGGCCAACACCCCCACAAGAGAAAGGGCAGCTAGATGCACCATCCTCCTCCTCACGGCAGACGCAGACCCTGGGGCTGGAGGAGGAATGCTGACACCAAGGCAGCTGGCACCCCGCTGAGATGTCAAACTCTTCCCAGATCCAAAGAGACCTTCTGGGAGGAAATGTGACAGGCCATCCTGATGGAGTCTGGCAGCATCACCAGAAGCCCCGAAAAGAAAGGACAATGTGCGTGTGACCACATGTCTGAGTGCGAGTAAGGATACATGTGACTGTGTGTGTCTTAGTCTGGTGCGGCTGCCTTAATGGAATGCCACAGACTGGGTGGCTTCCAAACAACAGGAACTTATCACTCTTGGTTCTGGAAGCTGAAAGTACAAGATCAAGGCACTGGCAGACTTGTCAAGGGCCCACCTTCTGGTTCACAAATGCTCGACTTCTCGCTGTGTCCTCACCTGGCAGAAGAGGTGAGGGTTTCTCCAGGGCCTCCTTTCAAGAGCACTAATCCTATTTGTAAGCACTCTTCCCTCATGACCCGTGCACCCACCAAAGCCCCCACCTCCTGATACCATCCCATCGGGGGTTAGGATTTCAACATATGCATCTTGGGGAGACACACACATTCAGTCTACAGCAATGGGTAAGTGCGCGTGAATTTGAGTGTGGATGAAGAGTTGTGTGGATGTATCAGTGTATACCTGTGTATGTATAAGTCCATGTGTGCAGGCCTCAGTGTTTGAGTGTGACTGTGTGAGAGTGTAGGTGCCCCTGCGTATGAGTGAGGATGAGTGTCTTGTGAGTGTGGGTGTGTACGTGCATGTTTGAACATCTGCATTGTGTTTGTGTGTGTATTTGTGGACATGCGTGTGAGTGCATGAGTGAAGAGTGGAACATATGAATGTGTGTGTCTGTGAGTTTGTGAGTGTGTATGTGTGAGTGTGCATTTGCGTGTGTGTGAGGTAGTGTGTTTGGTTGTGAGAGTGTGTGTGCACTTGGGGGAGCCAGGATGAGTGGAGACCCTGCTTTCCTATTCCTTACGAAAGGCCTAGTTCTCAAGACAACAAATCGTGAAAGGATATATAGATTGGAGGGAAGTCACAGGGCAGAAATGCAGGGTGGATCGAGGGGCCCAGAGAGGAGGTAGAAGAAATAAATGGTAGCAAGGGAGCCATATGAATGAGCTATAGAGATGTCTGAGCAGCTGCCAACAGTGGGAAGCTTTGGGGAGAGGAAGAGATGTCTAATGAGGATTTTCAGGAAATTTCCATGAGATATTTTGTATAAAAGCCCTGGGCCTCCCCTTTGATGAAGCTGACACTAAAGCTCTCTATGAGTACACGCTGTAAAGACTGACCCATGAGGACAGCCAGGTATATTTGGGTTACACGAGGGAATAAAGGCTTAGTGACCATTTCTCAGGGACGTCCTGCTGTTTAAATTCCAAAGGACACTCAGAGAAGTGGGTTATGGGTTTGTAAAAAGATAAAGCTTTCCATATGTATCAGGATATGGAGAGCTTCCAAGGAAGAAACCCAGGGAGAGGGACAGCTGTTCCCCTAGGACCACTGGCCCCAATCTCCCCGGGGAGCATTGGAGGTGCAGGGGAATGACACTGGATGGGGCGTGCAGAGCCACAGTGACATGAATCAGGTTGGGTGCTGCTGTTTGCACTAGAAAAAAACAAACTCAAACTGGCTCAGATATGGACAGAGATTTCCTGGCGTATATGGCTGGGAGACAAGAGGCAGGTGGATGTCAGCATGGGTTTGACTTGATGACTCCAGGGTGTCATCAGGGGTTCCTTCCAGCTCTCTGCTTTGCTCTCTGTGATGAAGGTGGTATCCCCAGGCTCCTCATCATCATGCCACGTTGTCTGGATGAAGAGGCAGAGGCTCTGCCCCAGCACTGAAGATCCGCCCAACAGACAGTGATGACTGTGGACAACGGAATGGGACCGACATTCCGTGCTGATGGCCGACAAAGGCTCAGCGGCCAGCTGTGTCCTCCCCTCCCCAAATTCACGTGTTGAAGCCCTGGCCCCCTGTGACTGTATTTGGAGTCAGGGTCTTTAAAGAGGTGATTAAGTTAAAATGAGGTCATTGGAGTGGGCCCTAATCCAATCTGACTGGGGTCCTTACAAGAAGAGGGGATTAGGACACAGACAGTCACAGAGGGAAGACTGCGTGTGAGGACACGGAGAAGACAGTGGTCCACAAGCCAAGGAGAGAGGCCTCAGGAGGAGCCAACCCTCCTGACACCTTTGCCTCAGACTTCCAGCCTCCAGGACTGCCGGGCGATGTTCCGAGAGGCCGATCCTGCCTCGCATGCCCTCTGGCTGGAAGAGGGGGAGGCAGGAGGGACTGTCCCTTCCTCCAGATCCCGGAGGCCCCTGTGCAGGGGAGACCAAGTGGAGCTGTCTGTGGTCTCCTGGTAGTAGCAGGCCTTGCTAGTCTACAATCACATGACCATTTACTGGCCGTGACAGGAATGGAGAAGAGTGGGGTGGATCTCCCGGAGAGGCAGAGGCTCCCATTTCATGAACTAAGAAGGGAACAGAGGAGGGGAGCTTAGCTTCTTCCTGGGGTGGCTGGGGGTGGGGTTCCCATGGGGACCAGTGAGGGTCAGACACCTGCTGAGCATGGGTCTCTGGCCTTTGGCACCCAGAGGACTTGGCCTCAAGAGAAGTGGTGCTCAGGGCAGCTCATTCCTGGCTCTGCCCCATCAAACTCCCCAGGGGCTCCGGGGATGCCAGCTGACCCTCTGCAGCCACACGTGCTGGGCTGGGGACTTGGAAAAGGACATCAGCGACAGCCAGCTTCTTCCCAAGAAGGCCCCGATGCAGAGAGATGATGGAGAAGCTCCTGAGCTGTGGCTGGGAGAGCTGGAGACACAGAATGAACAGGGAGTGGGACCCCGCGTGTGTGAGGGTGGCCTGGCCTTTGAATTCTGAGCTGGGAGGACACAGGTCATTTGATTTTGCTGCCTGACATCTGACACCCTGTCTGTGTGCTCCTATAGCGCCTCCTGAAACATCTTGGCAGGAGGGGGGGCCGCCTCCCACTCCAGGAACTGGAAACACCCGGCCCTCCTTTCCCAGCATGCCTTGTGGCCTAAGCATGTGACCTGAGCTTGGCCAATCAGAGACACTTGCTGTGGCTGGCACTCCTTCTCGTGACCGTGTGGCCGTGCTGTCTCAAGGGTAGCCTTGGCTTCCCCAAGTGCCAGTGTGTGAACTCCCCAATACGCTGCCCATCAATTCCCTCTGATCAAATTAACTGGAGTCCATTTCTGTTGCTTGCAGCTCATAAGCTGGCTGACACAAACAGGAATGGAGCACGCCAAAGTCAGGCTGGGCTGGATGCAAAAGGGGTACAGGGAGCAGGGTCAGGCACCCCCAGGAGAGGGCAGCGGGGGTGGGGGCTCGGGTCAGCGTGGGGGGATCCTGAAGTCAGGGAGGACAGTGATGGACCCACTGCACAGAGGGTGGCCAGCTACCCCAGGGCTGCCCCCCGGCCAGTGAAAGCAAAGCTGACACCAGCCCCCAACATACTCACCCCGCCCTGACCACCCAGCCCATCCAGCCAGCTGTGACCTTGGACCACTGCCTCCCCTCTCGGTGCCTTGCCCCTCTCAGATGGGGTTGGGGCTGGTGTCGGTGCTCTCTGGGGGCCTCCTCCCCACTTTTGCCTCTTGATCTCTGAGTTTGGCCCATGTGCTGGGGCTCTATGCTGCCTGCCGGTGTCCTGGAGGCTATCGATGAAAAACATCAGGATTCAGGCTGGGCCTCAGCCCACATGGGGAGTGGAGCAAGTTTGCTTTCTCCAAGTTTGCTTCCTAGCTTTGGAGAAGGGCTGTCCCCGGAGAGGGGGGACAGTTTGGAGGGTTCCGGAGGCAGGAGGGAGACAAGCTCAGGGTTGCCGATCTTGGACCAGGGGCTCATCTGAGGAAAAGCAGGAGAATTTAAAGGGTCCTAGTAAAACCTCCCAGGGCATCCCTAAGGCCAGCCAGGGCCTAAGCAGGCTCCGGGAGCCTCTGCGGCAGGCAGGTATAAATAATGAACCGCCGCAGCTCCCTGCAGAAGCACGCCTTTCCAGGGGTGCTTGTGAATTCTCTTTGATTTCTCCTTTGCACCTGTGGAGTGTCTGTCACGTGTGTCCCCACCTGCCAGGGAAGCTGAGATGCCTGGCTGGCTGTTTCAAGTCTGGGTGAGGACAGCAGCTTGGCTCTTGGCTGAGCAGATTGCCTCGGAGGCAGTCAAGCATCCAGGTTTCCACTGGGCCCCCTGGTGCGCCCCAGCCAGGTGGGGACTGCTGGGGGCTGCTGGCAGGGGCCTTTGCTCGTGCTGCCAGGGCCGCGACGGCTGTCACTGCAGAGCCATCCGTTAAGTGTGTGACAGGGTAAGTGTGTGACAGACAAGGCCCCGTTAGGAAAAGAAAAACCACTCCGGGTATTGCAGAGTGAACGTGTAGCTTACCCAGGTAGAGTAGACAGTAGAGAAACCAAAGGGGTAAAACGAGGCAACACAGAGATTTGCAATGCAGGAAGCTGCGACCACCCCTAGGGCTGGTAACACCAAAGGAGGAAGCGACTTTACTGGATCCAAGGCTCTGGGCCATTCGGTGGGAGGTGGAGCCCCAGTGAGGTCCAGGGACTCCCCCAGAGTGAGACAGGAGGGGAAATACCCTGGCTTCTCCCTTTGTCCTATCCTCCGGTCTTTTTTTTAAAAAAACTATGGTAAAATACACATATTATAACATAAAATTACCCGTTTTAATCAATTTAAATGCACAGTTCAGTGGCATTAAGCACATTCACATTGTTGTGCAACCACCACCACCATCTGTCTCCCAAACTCTTTTCATCTTGCAGAACTGAACTCTGTCCCGATTAAACAACAACTCCACACCCTCTCCTCTCCCAGCCCCTGGCACCCCTCATTCTGCTTTCTGTCTCTATGGATTTGACAACTCAGGGAATCTTGCATAAGTGGAATCTTACAATATTTGTCCTTTTGTGACTGGCTTATTTCACTCAGCATAATGTCCTCAAGGTTCATTCATGTGTTAGCAGGTATAAGAATTTCCTTCCTTTTTTTTTTTTTTTGCCCCTAGAGACAGGATCTTACTATGTTACCCAACTGGCCTCGAACTCCTGGGCTCAAGTGATCCTCCCACCCCTGCCTCCTGAGTACCTGGGACTCCAGGCACCCCCGCATCCAGCTTCCTTCCTTTCTGAGGCTGAGTAATATTCCATTGTGTGGATAGACCATGTTTAGTGCGCTCGTTCATCCATCGATGCATACTTAGGTGCTTCTACCTTTTGGCTATTGCAAATGATACTGAGACTGCCATACGTGTACAAATACTTCTTTGAGACCCTGCTTTCATTCTTTTGGATATGCACCCAGAGGTGGAATTGCTAGATCATATGGCAACTCTATTTTTAATTGTTTGAGGGACCACCGTACTGTTTTCCCCAGTGGTGGTGTCATTTTGCACTCCCACCAGCAGCGCGCAAGGGTTCGGACGTCTCCGCATCCTTGCCAACTCTCGCTGTTTTCTGTTGTTTTGATAGTAGCCTTGCTAGTGAGTGTGAGGTGCCACTTCACAGTGGTTTTCCTGAGTGCATTTCCCTGAGATTTGTGATGGGGAACCACCCTCTGGGTTTAAACCAGTGCCTCCCATTCGTCAGCACTACCCAGAAGCCAGAGGGCAGGCGAGGGATGGCATGGCTGGGCTGGGAAGGCATCGCATGGAGCTGGCCTACTTGAGAACAAAGCCCACAGAAGGAAAGCAGAGTGAAGACTGTGCAGAAACACAGAGTCTTGACAACATTGTTTCTACACCTGGATACAGCTATGCCTAAAGCCACCTCTCACCTATGGGCACTAGTAAATTCCTCCTTTTTCAAGGCCAGGTTGTGTTGGAATTTCTGTCACTTACCACTAGAAGTCATGACTGATGCACAAGCCTCAGGCCTAGGCCTTGGCCTTTGTATGACTTCTCAATTCAGTGTTGCTTGAGTGGCAGCTCAGGAAGTCTGATCTCCCAGACAATTGGTCCCTCTGAGTGCCTCACAGAACTTAGTTTATACAGAGACAAGTAGATCAGAGGTTGGTAGCACCTGGGGCCTTTTGAGCCAGGAGGGCGCATTCTCCCTGATTCCCAGGCTTGGTGACTTGCCCAAGGCCCCCCGGCAGTGAGTGGCAGAGCTGAGACTGAACCAGGACGAGGAGCCACTTGGCTGCCTTGTCCACACCTGGGCATCTGGTGGAGTCCTGGGGGATCTCCTTGTTAGGCAGGATGACAGAGCTGTTCCTGTTTCTGAAATGGCTGTAGAACTGACAGAATCTTTTCCTTGCTTGGTGACAGAGTGGAGTGCTGACCCTTAGAGGTCTCAGTGGCCCTGCCCTTGCTGAGACAGGCTTGTATTCTATTCTCCCCAAGTGCCCAGGAGGGCTGCTACAGGGCACCTGGTGCTTTGTGCTTCAAGGACAAGCTGGAACGAAGCCCTAGCAACCCAGTGCCATTCCCTGTCCTCCCTGGGCACTCTGCACATTCAAAAGCTATTTTAGAAGTAGCAGCACATCTGATTCTCTTTAATGCATTTCCAGGCAGCACAGATGTGCATCAATGAAAGAACGTTCCCCAAACCAAAGTGCTTCTGTGGGCCGCATGATCCCCTCCCACAGTGCCCACTCCCAGGCCAAGAGCATCCTATGAATCATGCATTTGTTCCTGTGATTGCTGCTCACAGAGGTGGCAGCTCTTGCAAAGAGATGGGTAGTCATTATACACTGCAAGAAGCAAAGACTCAAGGACTTTGGCTGGCGTTGGGGCAGGGCGTGGGAAGAAGCAGACCTTGTAAGGGTGAGATGGAAGGGTGAGCTCGAAGGGGTGAAGCTTGCAACGTCCAGAGCCCTGCCACCCGTTCACATGGCGACGAGACCTGTCTACAGCACCTCCTGCACACGTCCATATGGGACAGACTTTATTCTGAATGGAGGATTTGGCACCTGCAATAGTCCCATATGGAGCCTGGCTTATGTGGGGGTGGGGTGGGAAGGGAACAAACAGACACAAAACAAAGCTGGGGGCGGGGGGCTGCAAACCTCCACGAGTGGAGAGACAGTAATGAGAGACGCGTACACGGCTACATGCAGATCCAAACGATTGCACAAAAGCTCGTGAAAACATACAAAGGCATAAATTAAGCACTGCGACCGTCTGTCCCTAAAATGTGTCAGTCAGACAGACAGATGACTGAGGGAAGACATCTGATGTTTCCGTCGTTTGCAAAGATACAGTGTTTTGATTTTGAGGGGGAGGCACAAAAATTCGTGATTCAACTTTTAAAGCAATTTTCAAAGTTTTTAAAAAGAATTTTATAGCTTAAAAAATGTCCCTGGAAAGGAACAGAAAGACATGTGTTATTAAAAGATGAAAGTCTTTCCCTTCAATGAAATGAAGGAAAAACATGATTACGCCAGCCAAATAAGTGGATGTTCCCAATAGTGGTGGTCTCTTTGGGGACAGTGGGAAGGGCAGGGGGTGCTCTTCACTGTGGAGCTCAGATCCGGTTTTCCCTTCCGCGTGCTGAAGGCTCCTGGGCTCCCTCCGGCCTGTCACAGCAACCCCCTCCTGAGCAGCGTCCTGGAGGCAGAGGGCTGCCTGTCGTAGAAGATCACCCCACCAATCAGTCCTCGGCATCCTGCTGGAATGAGGACTCAAGGGAAACCAGCAGGAGCCAATCCAGGGTTTGTGAGTCCCGAAGCTCAGACAACTTGAGGGATTCCCTTTGAGAAAAAGGAGACATGAATATGATGTAAGGTGAGGTATGAAAGTGAGTGTTTATTTAGAATGTGACAAGAAATCACCACAAAGTAAGGTGCCCTAGACATTCAGGTTTCTTTCTTCTTCAATCCCTTTAGGCAACTTACCAGACATGTTTGCCGATTCCAACTTGGCTTCTCTCTCCACCTACAACACTCTATGACTCCCAGCATCTGGCAGCTCTCACAGGGACCCAAGCAAGTAAAGGGTCCTGACACTGGGGAATCATTAGCTTTACTGAAAATCTGCCT